TTTGGGTATTTCACTTCACTTAATTTATAATTTCTTTTTTTCGTTTTTTAGTAGGCACTTCGAAACCCCTTTTCAAAAGCCCTCATGGAGTCAAGATAGTAGGTGGGGAACAAACCTTCGTAAAATTGGATTATACACTGGGGCAGTGTATAATCCAATTTTACGAAGGTTTGTTCCCCACCTCTACTATCTTGACTCCATGAGGAGTCCATGACACCTACTATCTTGACTCCATATATAAACATTGTCGAATTACATAATCATTGCAGAAATTTATTATTTTCAGCCTTTGGAAATGGGTACTATTTGCACCAAATTCAGTTGAGTCAATAATCTTTTGAGGAAATGGTCTTGTAACCGTGCTAGTGCCTAGTTTGTTGGGATCTGGTCAGGAAATTTTTTTTATGTGATACATGTTTTTAACGAATGCCTTCTACGGGAATAATATGGCAGCCGGGCGGTCTTGTGACCAGTCTTGAACTCAAATTACTACTTTACATCAGGTGCTCCATACTTAGGCCACATGTAGGGCTCAATACCACAAAACGTTGACTGATTACCGTCGGGCAATACTTATTTTTAAAAGTTTTATTTTTCAATAATTTGCCGTTTATATACTGTATCAGATTTTAACATTTTTATGCGGTTGATTGTGTTCTCAGCTCGCACCTCGGATTCCTGTCAGCTATTTTTGCTTGAACTCGAATAATGTGAATTTTACGGTAAGTGTAAAACAAATTTGACTATCTATTTATTTATGACAATTAAACACATGACGCTGATTACATTTTTCATTCCAATTGTTTACAAAACTAACACTCTATGAACAAGCCTATTATTTGTTCCACCTTTCTCATTTAGAGCTTTATGACTGCTTCCTGGAGCATTACTCGCAGGGAACGTGAGACGCTTCTGTCTTACGCAGCATTACCGAGTCCGCACCAGAACCTTACGCTTGATTTGAGTTTAGGTTCAGCAGTAGTACGACGCGACTACTGTACGAATATTTCAAGCGTAATTAGAAACTAAGAATAAAACAAAACACCGCATTTATTGAGCGTTACTGAAAATTGTTTAAATATGTATAATTACTGTTTTTGCCTTGCCTTCCAGAGCCGATGCTGTACTTGTCAGACGGCGGCGTATCAAGCGACGGTACGTTGAGATAATATTATACAATGATTCTCAGTCTTCTCAGTTCTAAACTTTTATAGTAATGATACCGCGTATTTTTTTTGCATTTATCGTTATGACACCGTATTTTTACGAGATATGTCAAGTGGACTCCTATTTCCAAAAGGGTGGGAAATCGGACATAATGAAATTCCCATAACATTCAGTCGCCAAATATCATGACGCAAGGCGTAATTTTAGCGGTTGCCATTGGACTCACTGCAGTGCAGTTTTCAGCGTTCAATTAGCATTACTTCCACATAACATTTGGACTTACTTTTCAGTAGAAAAACTAGTCTCACACCCTATATGTAAACTCTTGCAGCATCACGCTAACAAACTTCCACTTCCCAAAGGTCATTTAGATAAATATATAGCATATAAATGAGCATGCCAGTTTTTTTATTGTTTAATCATGATGGCTTCCACATTACTGCTCTGCCACCCTGCTAAAGGGCACCCGGAGGGATATAAGTTGCACTCCGTAGCCGCCGACCACCTATTACTAAACTGCCACATATATTAACGTCGTTATTCGGCCTTTCATTTCAAAAGAAGTGGCTCGTGTGATGCAAACCTTGCATCTGTCCTTATCATTGAAAAACAGTTCTGACGTAGCGAAATATGGCGTCACAGTAAAACAAAACAAGAAACAACGAGACCGAGGATGCATGTTGCTGGAAAAGTCTGACTCGTATTTCTTTCTTTTTTTTTCTTTTTACACAGCTTCAAATCTGTCTTGGCGTGGTAAGAAAACCAGCTGTTTGACGCCGTCCTAAAAGTATAGTTTTATAGACTCCGCGAAGCATGGAGACCCTTTTCAGATTAGCTACTGTGCCTGGAAAAACGTCTTTGACTGGCGCGTTTACCGTCCTACATTACACGCGGATTTAAAGTGGATCCCGAAATCGCAGCAAACGGCTTCACAGGAGACGGCGTAGCATGCTGTCTGATGTCAAGATTCTGGCGGTTGTTCGAAAAGTGCACGGCGAAAAAAGCAGGAGACCGAACGCAAGAGGATCGCTGTCGCAACGGCGTTCCAACTCGTGTCTGGTTTGGTTTTCGTCGAAAGTCCGGTCGGATGTGGCAGACCAGGTGTCTGGCACATTCACCTCTGCCGATGCGCCACCGCCAGAATCGTGACGCATGGCGTTTTTACGAGTTCATCCGGCGGATGTCGAAGGACCACTTTTTGAGGGCGCGCTAAACACACAGGGATCAGTTGCCACCACGGGGCTGGAATAATATGAGTTTTTTTTTTTTGTGTTCTTTATTACCAGCGTTAGGTCTCACGCCTCTTTCCTGAACATTTTGACAGAGTCAACTGCCTCCCACAGTAAACACGACTCAGGCGATGTGCATCGCTCGTGGTTGCTGCCAAGGAGTAGCGCTATACGTTCAGGTGAGTAGATTAGGCGGCTTTTCTGGTGCATCCGCTATTTTTCTCTTGGTCGTGGCATTTTGGTTTTTAGAACCATCGCCTCAATCGTACCTTTTTATGTTCTTAGTTGGTAAGAGTTAGGCATGTGGCAAGGTTTTTATCCATTCTCGAGGTCAAACTGTCCTGCGAAACTTCCAACTTTTAGCTAAATTCCACAAAGTTTGTCTTTGGTGAGTCTTGCCCGACTTATACATAAATAACGGTAACGCAGGACTCGGTGCATTAAAAAGGTTTTTACTCGCACTTTCTTTCAATCTTTACACAAACGATTCAAATCTCGGGCAAAACGTAATGCTCAAAGTACTCTACAAAATAATTACCAATGTTTCCACATTAAAAAAAAAAAACCTAGGCATTTTGAAGTTTAGAGTTAAATTAATAACGTGAAATTATAAAACAAATACACCTGAAAAGTATCCATCCTTCCTCCGACAGTTGACGTCCCCTGCTTGTAAATTTTCGAGCATGCGCCTAATTGCAATCTAATGACTTACATCGCAGAATGAGTATATTGACGACATATAATTACGAAATTTTGATATTATTTTAGCACGGATTTTTCAGCTATCTGCTCTGGGATGTGTAACTACTAGGTATTTCTAGAAGAAAATAGTACAAAATTTGAACCGAAAGGGACAGAAAAAATACATTTATCCCTGTTTTGCATTTATTCACTGAGGTGCCAAGAAACACTGCTAAAACACATATAAAGCGCTTATTTGACATGTACTGTGAGGTAATAAAAATATTTGCTTTTCAGGGAAAAAAGTGAAATCTGCTTCGGCTTCTACTTTGTTATTCTAACCAGGGTGAAAACAACTTTTGTGCAAAACATACGAGTATTATACTCTTCATCCTTCTTACATATCTGTATTTTATTACCCTGAGGCACAAATAAAAAGAGCCGGGCTGTTTATAAAAGGGACTCAAGGACACTTACTTGCAGGATTGCAAAACAGCTGAAATGATTGAATTTTCTTTTCCTTCATTGTGTTGGTGTTGCGGACTTAGAGGCTTTAATCCTCTATTTTTCTCAAAACGAGCCATATACAATGTAACTTCAAGCTTATCGTTCACCAAACAGCCCAAACACTATTCGTTTTAAAAGAATAATATCCCCGAGGAAGCAGCTCAAACTTCAATACTTTCTAATCTCACGGGAGTTCAAACCTCAGCGCAATTTAAATTCTAGGAGTGGCGTTGGCCTTTTTCTTTCCTCGACTGATAAATAATGCATAAGATAGTTTGCGCTTTTGACGGAAATATACTTTGTCGAAAAGGCACTTCAGATGTCGAAACCGTCAAATGATATTCCTCGCTTTGAAGTTCAATTGAAACCGATCGGGTCAAGTTGGAACACCTGCAAATCGCATTGAAAGTGAACCCTTCAAGGTTCCACGGGCTGCCTTCACGCATACCCAAACTTGCCGAATTCAATCAAGTGACTTTTCGTATAAAATGAAGAATCACTAAAGTAAGCAGGCCCATTTTTAAAAAATATAATGAAGGTCTTTAAAAAATACTTCATAGTGATGACAAAATGGATGAGGAAAGCTCCGATTGCGTTTCCTTAATTTGGTATTCGTGTGGAAAACTAAAAAGTTATTTTTAAACGACGGTTTCGACTTATCCCTTTTAAGTAATACATGGCGGCATATAATATTCCGTTTCAAAGTAGATGTAAATAAGCCTAACTGAAATGACATCGCGTTTACGCAGCCGCGTGAAAGGCTGGATCATTTGAATTCGTCGCGATCAGTACTATGCCGCAGATAGTCGACAAGGTAAATATGTTTTTTTTTTCTGTCTGTTCTTTATATGCTGCTCTTATTGTGCTGTACTTGAAAGTTCAGAAATCCGTATGTTTCGGAGACTAAGGAGCTGAAACATAAATATAGCAGAGTAAATTACCTGGCTTGTCAGGTTCCTTTGTTTTCATTGTGAATTATATATTGAAGAGAGGCACACAATCTTTACATAACCTGTACACCGAACTGAATCTGACTAAATATTTACTGCATCGAGCGACTCCTGTTTCGATTGACATGAGTATCATGACGTGACACGAAATATTAAAATTTTATTACGACTTCTCTATATGTTAATTAGGCCTTGAGTTCCATGCAGGGCACTTCGGTCTAGTTGTTTAGACAGACCTGTGTCTGAGATACGATGAATATAAAAAACAAATGTTGCACAAAAGACACATCAGGTTTGTAGTCTACCAGGATATAAGCTAACGAATTGCTTCCCAACAAGTACCGTACGGTACTTGTTGGGAAGCAATTCGTTTTATTCCCAATTCTCGTTACACTCACCATGCATGACGTGTTCAAACGCCGAACGCAAAATAATTACATGCATAAAAAATGAAGAAATTCGTGAATCAAAACTTACGAGTTTTTATTGCTGGCGTTCTGGACCTTTGGCTCAGGAACGCCTCAGAGCCAGCACGGAAACTCTTATTTGATCGTGAAAAAATATAATTTTCATACACAATCTTTCTCACTAGAGTATGAGTGCTGCAGTTGTCAGAAAAAAAGAATGGGCACAAGTTTCGTCTCATTGAGCAGGCAATGGAAATCTGGTCTTCATGAAATATTCCGTTTCGTCGAACGGAACGCCTCGCTTGGGGTGGGACGGCGTCTTCCTCTTGATCATCTGGATGCACTCGGGAATAGGACACACGGACAAGCACAACGTGCAGCCTGTGCAATCGTTGGTGACAAACGGGAGATGGGTGTCCTTGTCGAAGGTGATAGCCTGGTAGCCTGAGTCGTTGCACGTCATGTAGCACTTGCCACAGTTGATGCACATGTCCTATAAGACAGATTTGTTGCGTCAGAAACAAGCAAACCACGAAACGGTATTGTGTATATTGTAGTTATGGGAGAGCATATCACATTTTTATTTTCTGTAAGAAATCTTGCCACGTCTGACTTTAAGGGGCCTTGGACATTGTGTAGCCTCAGATGATTATTGCCCTTAATTTTCGGGCGACAACAGCTTTCTGGCAAAGTGTGAAAGTTTTCTAGAGCTCTGGACAAATGATATTTTACATTTGGAGCCCCTCCAAATACAGTCAATACGACGATCTTGAGTACTCAGCATTTTATCTAATTCAATATTTTTAATACGACCTTTGAATCGACATTCTTCAGTCCTTTGAAAAAACAGTGATGAAACAAATTATATCATTGAATACATAAATTAGCAAAATCATTAGCTGAGAAACTTATAAAAACGTTCCTGCGCATAAGGTCCACAAAACGAAACATTGTTGTATTGATTAAAACATAGTCACAGATGCATTTTGTTTAATGCGCAAGTCTCGCATTACTGCAGAAATGTTGCAGTAATTCACGGGCCGTTTTGTTATTTATTAACTGTGTCTCTGTTAAACAGACAACAACATGGCGTGTCTGTTTAGACCTGTTTAAGAATCTATACCTACATTGGTTCCTTTTCAGTATGGAAACAAATGGTAGTGTCCGTTGGTCAAGCATTCTTTGAGATTCAAAACGCAACTAAACAGAGAAAGCAAATAAAAGAAAGCACAGCGGACAAGTGTAAAACCACGCCTTACCTCATCGATCAAAGCAACTACCTGCTCCTTTACGTCCAGATCGCCAAAGGTCCCAATCTTCTTGAGTGATTCTCCAATTACATCCTGCAAAAAAGGGCATCTTAGTGGGCGCTTTCTTTTCAGCCTTACTGTAGCATTGTATATTTCGTGCCTAATAATGTGATGAAAGCAATTCTAGAAGCAATAATCATTGTTTCTTGATAATTCTGAAGTTACTCGTATACATTCTCTCATCCATTGCAGGCAGCGTTTGGAAAACACTTACCTGCACATTCGGGATTTTTTCCTTGAGTATCCTAAGCTCTCGCTGGGGCACGTGGTGATTGGAAAGTAGGTCCGAGCGTTTTTTCTCTTCTGCAATCATACCCTCCTTCTTCTGAAGGTATGGCCCGAAGTTAGGGAGTCGCTGAAAAAATAAATATAGCGCATTTTACTTTTACTTTACGTATCTAAAATGCGAAAACTAAATTGTTTTTGTTTAAATAAGATATCCCACCTCGTTTTCAATGTCTTCGAGCTTCACAATCGGTTTCCCCTTCTGATGTGGCTTCACAGGGGGCGACTGACTTTCCCAGTCCTCCATGCCTTTCAGGTTCCGGATGTACAAGGCTGCTTTAAGTCCCGTCAAGTAATCCTCGATAACCGTAAAGTCCTGGTTCTGAATTGAGCTGCATACCTGCGAGGTAAACATTTAGGACAACCGAAATCAGACACCTTCCATTACGCTTCACTGGATCATTTGACTGCAGTTAAAACGCTTTTAGAGATACAACGTTAGACTGAAAAAGGCGTAGAAATGTCTTCGCAAATGTTTTTGTCAAACCTTTAACGCGGAATTAAAACAGTGTCTTGACTTAGAAACAACGTTACTAGAACCCTCAGTTGGGAAACTCACCGATGAAACCTGGGCCGCTGGCGTCCGCCGAGACCCAGCTAAATACGACCACAGCGCCGCTCTTATCATTTGACTTTACTGTGGTCATCTTGAGCTTTTAGAAAGCATGTTTTTGCGTAAAATCCAACGGAAAAAAACTCTTTTTGTAGTAACTTTTATCGGAGTAAAGTACAAAATGAAGGGCGCGTGATGTTTTCTGAAATTTTTAGTTTGCAAGGTTTTTCGGCACAACTACTATTGTTTTTATACAACCATGATTGATTTCAGGTAGCGCGTCCAGACCTAGGTGCATCTTAAGTTCGGTAGTAATTGGCGGCGCGTCCGCTTGGAAGACGGGTGTAGCACCCCTGGAACCCCTTCCACCGTATCTGTTTCGGCGCCAAAATGGCCGATTGAAGCCAAAATAGAAGCCACGTGCAGTTCCTCGAGTGGCCGCTGCGGGAGAAATGGCGGCGTTGTGATCGCCATTAGCTCGGTTCTCGAGTACGGATCGGCGCCACTTTTTCAGACCAGTCTCTATAGCAGTTTCCCAACAGAGTGGATCTAGTAACGTTGGTTAGAAACTAACTTCCTAAACTATTAGGACGGTGCTTAGAAACTAACTCCTTACGGTTATACGCCAACACGCCGCTTACCAACAAGCCCGAGTTCTGCCTATCAAATCTGAACCCTGACCGAGCAAATAAAAAAAAAATATTCACTTGAAGAAAATTGTTTGCGCATGCGCTGTGCTGACAGCAGCGCCACCATAATGACGTGACGTCAGGAAGTTACGTCGGTGTATACAGAAGCATAGGGAAAAGACGAACAGTTTAATGGCGCCCGATTTGAAGGAAGGACCTTGAAGAAGGAGTGTAAGCAGGATACGTCAGAAAAGGGATTATTACCTAGTCTTTCGCCTTCTCTCCTCTGCAAAATATTGTACCGAATTCAGGGTGCCTTCTCCCCAGCCCGTCTGCGCTTTTTACCTTGCTTCAAACAATTATGTTTGATAGTCGCCGTTGGGAGTTATATTTAATTTTAATTACGGCCAAATCTGGACAAGATAAAAGAATATACCTGTCCTGACCTTGTCTAAGTGAAAACATTCACACAATTGAATTCCTGTAACTAGACTGGAGAAAGCGCTGAAAATGCGATATATAGCTGCGTCCAAAGGGCTAGGCATTTCGCTAATTAGATTTTGTTTTGGATACTAGCAGGGTGGCACGACGTGATTGGTCGCCAATTTCGGAATGCTTTTTACTGATTTGTTTTTCTTTTTACCGAGGTGGTAAAGTTTTAATTGCAAGCATGTAAATTAGAAGAAATAAAAACGTACAAAAAGAGCGCTCGAAATGTCTGCAACTTCATTAACGTCTCTGAGAACTGACTTGAAACTCTCTCTGCTTAAAGTGGTTTATATTACACGCTTTGCTATCAAGATACCAGCTGGAATTTCCTAAATGACGAACTCCTTTAGCGTTGCCTCAGACATATTTACCGGTTCTCGAGAAGAACGACATAGAATTCCATTCTTCCTCAGGGTGTTTGTAAAGTGGGCAGCCACCTCTCATCGCACTAAATTTAAGTACTAATATACATCCTAGACACTATGGCACGGTGTCCTTTTAAAGAGCACGCATAAATTAGTTTCATAATGTTTCGCATCATAGTTTGCTGCATATGTGTCGTAAGTAGTGCCTTCATTATCTGGAAGCATGAAAATATGAACCTACTTGAGTATGAAAAAAAAAAAAAACTTTCCACTAGAGACGAACGTAATTCTAAGGCATTTTTTCGAAATCATCAAATAGCATTCTGGGTCATTACAACTAAGAAACGTGCGGAAAATAAAGAAAGAACTGGCTTACATTTTACCTCGTTCAATAAATGCCACGCTGACCCGTGCCAGCCAGGGTGTCTAATAAAAACAAATATTTTTGTTGTTGTTGTTGTCTTTTATATTTAGCTGAAATATCCCTTTTATATTTTTAGTAAAGAAATGCATCATCTAGCTTAACCTTTACACTAAATTACATCGCAATCTGTTAAGAGACTGTTCTATACAGTCTCGTCACTGTTGTAAGGACACGTTACAAGACCTGGAGCACAGAAGCCCCAGCTTGGAGAAACTGAAATCCGGCTTCGGCGGAGTCGATGCCTCCCGTGGCCAGGATTGGGAAGCCGGGCAGAGCCCTTGCGATGGCCGAGACGGCCCTCAGGGCGATGGGGCGAATGGCGTTCCCAGACATGCCGCCATAAGTGGTCCTCTTCTGCGCCCCGACTCCTGGCCACGGATCGCTGTTGTACTTGAGTCCCATCAGGCCGGACACGGTGTTCACAGCTGTCACTCCGTCTGCTTTTCCTATAAAAAAAGCAAAAGCGCCATGACAGTAAACTTTTTTTTTTTTTGTAGGTGAATTTAGAAATATCTAGAAGAGAAACTCCGGTCGAAAATGAAACCAAAATGAATGACTGGTAATGCTTTAGAGGCACGAAATATGACCACAGCCCAAAATATTACATTTAAGTGAAGCCGCATAACACACTAAAACCGATTTTAGAGACGCTACAGCTGCTCTTCAGCGGGCGGCAAGCGAGTTAGCTTTTAGTCAAGCAACACTGGGGCAGCACCCCCGTGACGTCACGCCGCGACCGTACGGCTGATGATCAGTGTTGACATCCCTCTGGCAGATAGTTTCGGTTTTGCCGTAGACGACCTACACCAAACTTTGAACCGTGACATTTATACTACTGCACAAATATCGAGAAAAAAAAATTATAACTTGTAATTAAGTGACACTGCTTTAGCTAAAAATAATCGTAATCCCAAATTTAAAAAAAAAATGTATACCGGAGTTGCCTTTAATAAAGACAAAAAAGCTGCGGCATATTTATTTATTTATTTTAACCTGCACCACCTAGAGGGAATTATTAAAGAAAAGTGAGTTCAAACATACACATAAAAATGCCCCCAAATATACACAGAAATATTCACACAAACTTACAGGCATGACAAAACTTCAATGTAAAAAAAAATCACAACATAGAATAAAACATAATTACTAATTTTTGTTTAACAATCAATGAGAAACAAATGATTTGAAAGTATTGAAACAATATTACAGTCTATCTGATTTGAATCTTCATCTGAACGTGAAAAAATGGGCATTTGGAAGCATCAGTTCTGCAATTGAATCATTTTATGGTGTAAGCATGACATGTCTCTTGAAAAAAAATATAACAGAAATAAATTTGTTTGAATATTCTTATCTGTTGGCTGATTCACTTTAACCGAAGACAATTTTTGAAAAAATAGTGGCTTAAAAAAGGTCATTTTTGTGGCACTGGTGCTTTCATCACACTCATTCTTTCCAAGAAACAAACCTTGTCGCTTTGTTTTGCACTCTTTCAATTTGGTCGGAGGGCACATGATTATAAAGATCCTTTCTTCAGCAAGATCTAGGTAAGGGCGCTTGATCAACAGATCTAGTATTTTAAAATATTATACTTAATATCCCCCCCTAGCAGTGAAGCCACTCATGGCCCCCGTGAACAATGTGCATGCATGTATTTCTAATTGCAACATGGCCCCCATAAAATTTCTAATTAAAGAGTTACTAAACAAATATTAGTTAATAAGCCAAGTAATTTCGACAATATATATATCCCATTTAATGTTCCAAACATCCTATAAAAGCAAAATCCTATAAAAGCAGAATAAAAGCAAAAGTTCTGTATAGATATATATATATATATATATGAAAATAAAAGAAAACCCTTGGTAAAAACAGCAACAGCGGGCGGTTTATCCTTCGACGTTTCGGCCGGAGTACGGCTTTCGTATGTACAAGGTGTTTTTTTTTTCTTTTTTTTTTCTTTACAGATTCGTTTAAAAAAACCATGAAAGCTACACTTATGCGGCTTGTGCGAGTGAGTTATCCACCCATGGGGACATTATGTGGGTGTCTAATCTTTGCGATTAGTCGTCTTATTAATTAAAATTCGTTAATAAACTTTTTATTTAGTGAAAATAGACATATGGTTCTTATTACAAACTTGCTGAGCGTTATCAAAAACCACTAAATCAGTCGTTTTCAGAAAGACCTTCAGCGCGCGAGAAGCGTAGTAGGGCACTAAAGGTACCGACCGTGGAACAGATACAAGGCTAGCGGTTGCGGTAAGGCGCCCGCGCAATTTTTCCGTCTCTTGTGTAGCCCCAGCCTTGTACCTGCTCCACGAGTGGTAAATTCAGCGCACTACTACGTTTCTCACGCGCTCAAAGTCTGTCAGAAAATTAGTGATTTAGGGGTTTTGGACGACGCTCTGCAAATTTCTAATTGAAAACTTCAGACTATTTTCACTCATTAAAAAGTGTTAACTAACAAATTTTAATTAACTGGCCACCCACATAATGTCCCCCTGGCCGTATAACTCACTCGCACAAACCACAAAAGTGTAGCTTTCATGACCTTTTTTAAACAATTCTGTAAATAAAATAAAAAAAAAACTTTATATATATATATAGAGAGAGAGAGAGAGGGAAGGAGAGAGAGAGAGAGAGAAAAAAAGAAACGTAGCGCAGGACGACGAAAAGTATATACGGCAGAAAACGCACTTGAGACGGCTGTTGGAGTTTTTAAACGATATTATTCGTAACGTTCGTCGACGTTTCGGCTTGAGACAGCCCTTTTTCGAGACGTCGACGAACTTTACGAATAATAGGTTTTAAAAACTCCAACTACCGTCTGAAGTGCATTTTTTGCCGTATATATATATATATATATATATATATATATATGAATTAAAGCTTCTGAGCCGGTGATTATTCAAATACACAAGAAAGATCCACGGACTGAACAAACACAATTGTTAGCAAGCCAGCTAGTCTATCATGTAATTTTTATTTATCTTCATGCAGTTGTCAATATACACACACACACATATATATATATATATATGTGTGTGTGTGCGTATGTGTGTTTGTGCGTGTGTGTATTGAAAACCGTATGAAGATAAACAAAAAACAGCCCGATACACTTGTTGGCTTGCTAACAATTGTCAAATTACGTTCAAAATATGACTTCATTGTGTGAAGCTTTAACACTTACCCTCGTAGGCTGCCTTGGCAATGTCAACCACATTGGTGACGTTAGGAGTGAGCTTAGCGAAGAAGGGGATTTTGACGGCTTTCCGCACCCATAAGCAAATGTTTCGCACAAGGTTTGGGTCCTAGAAAAGAAAATTGTCTCATTAATGGCCTTCTATGGGCGGTATCTTATTCATTAAAAGTGCCTATTCATGCGGCAGCTAAAAATAAAGCAGTGGACCATTAGGACGATATTTTGACCTTACCTGTCCACATGCAAGCCCCATTCCTCGCTCTCCCATTCCATGCGGGCATGAAAGATTGAGCTCCAGTGCATCTGCCCCCGCCGTCTGCAAATGCGTTGACAGATAAATACTTAAACATCATGAACATTTACATTAACGGTGCAAAACAAAAAAACTTACATTCATCGTTGTTCACCGTTCAAATAGAAGATTTTGACGCAGAGCATAAGTCGTAAATATAATTTCTGCATATAGTCCTTTTTGTTTTAGTTGGTTCAAAGCTTTGAACTGGCCAGTCATATTTGAACCTGAGAACATTGACCTTGGACGTTTCTCTGCCTCGGGTTTTCGATATCTGCACTTCTACGAATGACTATCATTTGGCCAGTTAAATATAGTGCTGCCCCTTTGTGAGATGGTGCAAGGGCGATGTTATTTTTTCTAAACCAGTAAACTGTCAATATTATCAATATAATTTGAAGTCCACCAAACAACTATCCAGAGCGCCGTAAAAAATGTTGCATGAACATTTCCAGCGGAGCGCCAACATGAGGTGCTATGTTACCTAGGGTTGCAAAAAGGTACTCTGAAGTTGTCTCTCATCGGTGTGTTTAGAGCATCCCCCTAATATTGGTTGCCTAATTTTTACCTTCTATAAGTATGATTAAGTATGAACTATGAATAAGACAACCGCATGCTTTGATGTACCTCGCTCTGTAGCCTTACGGCCAGCGGAAACTACAGCAGCGTGGGTTGTGACGCAGCGAGCACAGCGACCCTGGCGTCCATTCGCCCTTTTAATCACGTCCAGGGTCACTTCGTCCGAACGGTGGTGTTCCAAGCTCCAACTTCCCGCATTTAAATTCCGTTCTTTTGTTCCGCATGTCCGCCGCCAGGCTGCGCCTTTTTCCACCCCAGACCTGCAGACCAGGTAGCGCCCCGCTTCCCTCCTTCGTATCTCCGTTGAGTGACGTCACCTACTCTCTAATCTAAGCGCTCTGTAGTGCGCTTAGATTAGAGAGCGTTTTCAACTGCTCGGTCACGGTCATGTGGTTCGGGGGCCGCGTTTCTAATTATCTGCGAGTGTCTCCAGGCTTGGTCTTGTCTCGCCTCGCTCACGCAAGCACACGTGCACCCATGCTGCACCGGAGCCGGTCGCCATTAAATTTCGCAAGTTATTAATGGCTTAAGTTGCTCCCTCCCCTTAATCTAGGTCCTCGAGAGCGGCGAATGGAACGAAAGACACGCCAGTAGGGGACGTGTTCCTGGCAACCGTAGTTGCACGTTCAGCAAACCTTACCTCTGCCATCTGCGCAAGTTCAGTCCAGTCCTTTTCGTCGAAGGTGCACATGATGCTGGCAATCACAACCTGGGTATAATACAATGTGTTAGCAGGGTCAAATTTTGTCACACATACAATGGAACTAGTAGAAGTTACATGAGAAACAAAATGGCGGTTCCTTGTTGTGTTTGGTAAAGCAAATACGGTGGTAGCCGAAACGCGGCACACAGTTACACTGCCGTGTCTAAATTTAGCGAACTTATGTTCTGTTAAATTTAGCGGACGGTAATCATGTGCGACACCGCAATCACGTGACATTGTTACGCCTCACAACGTGCTAGAGCGACACAATGATATCACGCGTCCTTGTTACTTCACGTGACAGGAAACTTAAAGGGGAGATAAGACACCACTTGGGGTACTACGACGCCACGTAATGGTGCGACGTTGTATGAAGCGGTCACATGACACCGGGACGCCTAATGATACTGCCGTCATGTGAAACTACATTTAGAGGAAACCTTGTGATGTCACGGGGCACCGTGAAGTCAAAGTATCATGTAGCGAAAAAATGTCTTCCGCTAAGTTTTTTTTTTTTTTTTTTTTTTTTTTGCAAAAGAAATTTGCAGCGCCGAAAATTCGGCATTATATACAGGTACAGCCCATGATTTAATATGCTCAATAAAGAGCTAAAAGGCATAACACTCGAATGCACGGCCTTAACTTTCAAGAAAGAGAATACATAAGCGATAAATATAAATTACAGTATTACAAATCAAGACCATATCCTGAGGTAAATGGTCCCATGTCATCATTAACTCGGTGAACAGGTTCCACTGAGCGATTGTGTGTGAAAAAAAAATGAAAACTTCTTCTAATTTGAACTACGAAATTTCTTTTTTTATCTTTCTGGATTGATCCATGCGATTTGAAATATAGTTAGGTAATTCTATGCATTTGCCTTTATCAATACCTGTCAAATCGTTGACAATTGTAAGCAGGAACCTCAATCGAAAATCTTTGCGTCTTCACAATAAAGTTTCCAAACCAAGGACATTTTTAATCTCTGTAACGCTATTTTTTCTACTATAATTTCCTGTTACAAATCTCGCCGCAGAGTTTTGAAATTTCTCTAATCTATCTGCAAGGTACTTTCAGTGCGGATCCCACAAAACACATGCGTACTCCAGTGCAGGTCTAACAAAATAGCAGTAGGCTTTCTTCCTTAGTTTCTTCGGAGCACCGCGTAGATTTTGAATAAAGAAAATTTAAAGTTCGTCTCGCCTTTTTAGCAGTTTCAGTGACATGAACATCAAAAAAAGTGTGCTTGACAAGGTAATCCCCAAATATTTAACATCAGTGTTATTGCTTAATTTATCATGACCAATAAAATAGCATGGTGGGACTAAGTTACATTTCCTCCCAAGAATGACTTGCACACGCTTATCCACATTCAAGCCTAACTCGCAAATCCTTCACCAATCCGATATCCTATCAAGATCCAACTGTAAAAAGGCCGAATCATTCACACTGTCAACCCTGCTACACAAAACACAATCGCCCGCAAACAGCTTTATGGACGAGTTAATGGTCGATGATATATCATATATAAACATAATATATAAAAGAGGTCCAAGCACTGACCCCTGCAGCACGCCAGAAGTCGCATCAACAAATCTGAGCTTGCACCATTTACAAAGACACACTGCTTTCTCCCAGAGAGGTAATTTTATGTCCGACGGTATAAGTTTCCATCAAGTATAAGGGAGCTCAGTTCGTGTAGCAGCAAAGGGTGAGACTCTTTATCGAAAGTCTTCCTCAAATCAAGAAAGATGGCGTGCGTTTCTCCTTTGCCCTCAGCCGTCGAAACCAAGTGATGATGAAGTTCTACGAGCTGTGTGGCCCATGAGAGGCCCGTTCTAAAACCATGTTGGGAAGAAGAGACATAACTATTTGTATTGAAATGCCCCACAACATTGCTATAAACAATAGGCTCTAAAATCTTGCCACATATGCAGCTCAGTGAGATGTGGCGATAATTCTCCACTTTGTGTTTTGATCCAGGCTTATGAATTGGCGTAACGCACGTCACCTTCCACTGCCAGTTCCAGGTGTGCACAACTATACGCTCAAGCACACCCCCCAATACGTTGCAAAACCTTGCCGATGAGGAGTTTAAGAATAGGGGGCTTTAGGTCCCCTAAGGAGCTTCGGACTTCGCACTGCACATGCGATGAACTTCTGCGCTTGCGCGGCGCGACGCCGCAAGCTGCTCGGAAGACCCGAAGCGTTGGGGCCTCGGAAAAAAAAAAATCTCTAATCACGGCTTGCGCCGCAAAAGGACGTACGTGATCAGGGAAGTCTCTCTTGAGTTCGCTAATGCTTCCACACCAATACGCCGCTGTCTTCTCGCTGATCAGCTCGATGTTGAGGAAGGAGCCCAGGCCAGGTCCGTACGTGTGGCCGAACGTAGACCCGCGGATGATGCGGGGCGACACGTTCGTCACGACATCCTGAAACCCAACGTACCTTTAGCCATCTGTCTTTCGGTAGTGAAAAAAAAAGTGAATCTTGCGAATGCACCCTAAAGTCTAACAACCTCCGGAAATTGCTGACCCTTATCATCCGCGAAATGCGTGCTCGGGTAACGCGGCGTCGAAATGCCTTGGAAGGTATGTATACATATCAGGTCACAGAGTCAGCTCTAAAAGGCTAGCTCATGCATTTGCGCTTGAGCGTGCTAAAGTGCGTTACACTTTCTTGTTACCCCTTAGGACAGGAGAAAACTCACTGTCACGCTGGCGCTATCTATCAGGCAGTCCTGGAACACGTAAGACTCCGTACATAGTTTTATAATTTGTCACGTGTCGTATCTTCATTGTAGGCTTGGAATAACTCTGACAATGCTTTAAGCATTCATTCTCACGGATAGTGCGTAAGTTGGACCTCGCAAATACTGAAATTCTTTCACTTAAGGTTTACGCAGTTCCCGGGCTACCTGAAAAATTGGACAGAGTTTAAGTGCGTTTTCTCATCCTAAGCGGCTACAAAGACGACGTAACATAGTCGAATGCAAGTCTGCGATTCTGCCTTAAAGCGGTCATTACACCATCCATCCTCGTGTTAGGAAATCACATTTTGGTTGAACACGTTCGAACTTCTTTTGGCTTACGTCTCAAGGAGTATGTCACAAAAAGCTACCTATGGGCTGTCGAGATCGTTCTTAAATGTTAGTCCAAACGACGACCAGTAATGAGCGCCGAGTGGGCGGGCGTGCAATGTCGATCCTCTCTGCTATTTCAACCTGTGCGACCTGGTAACGCAAGAAACATTTCTCATCGGTAGTGTCGAATGCATTCCACGAAACGCCAGACTACACGATTCTGAATGAATTTGGATTATTTTTGTGTCTACGTGTCTTTCTATACTCCGTTTCACCGTACGACAGAGAGCTGCGGTCGCTGCGAGCTATTCGAATGAATTCAACGCTGCGCACGTAACGCACGACTTCGCGCGTGGAGCGACACACGACGTCAAACAGGACGAAGATCGCATGATGGTGTGACCACTTGATTATGTGATCATGTGGTCGCTCACAAGGCATTGGACTGGCTTTGATGACTCGTGGTGTCCTTTGCTATTAATCCTGACACCATCACCCTACGGAGGCCATCACCCTACGGAGGCCCACAACCCAGAACCAAAAATTGAAAGAAGTGTGTGCGACACGATGACACGCTTCGGAATGTTGTGACTCATCGGGCCAGAGCACGGCGATTCCAGAATTCTGACTTTAGCGATAAAAATACCTGAACGCTGGGCTTTCAGTGTACTTCATTCTTTTAAAACGGTACTACCTATTGCAATGCGAATAAACTAGTCTTTCTGTTTTGCTTCTTCGTTTACCGCCTCCTTTTTGGCTAACCAGACCCCGACAGTGGGAGAACGGACGTCAGTCTGAGTCCGAAGATCTTCTGACGGGCACTGGAAATCAGTTCTTCGAAGGACGTGTAATCGAAGGATAGTTTCGTTGACAATGTGACGTTACATTGACGGTTCGTTTATTCGAAACGCACCCGCGTTTCTTTTGTATACATATTTTGGGACATTTCGTCGAAAGAATCTTTCCGTGCACATCCCTTCGGCCGCCAGCATCCGTATGGTAGTCCATCCTTGCCGAACAAAAGGAGATTCTGACGAGGCTCGCAGTGAGCTCGAGACTGAGATTATAATCTATTTTCCCCGAACGGAGCGAAGTGAGGCGTGGCAGCATGTCGTGCTCTTTTTTTGAAAGTCTGGGATTGTGTCTCGCGATTTCGCTTTTGCTGTGTCGGAGCCGCCCGGGTGGCTTTGCAGTACTTCCCGTACAGACTCAGCCACTTACTATGTACGGAAAGTACCGAGTAAAAACCACCGAGCAAAAGAAAATGTAGTGAACGATAGTATGCGTATAAAAAACGAGTTTCCAAAAAACACCACAATGTCGACGACACGTGCATGCATCTATGGAACGTACATCGATGAAACGTTGCCCATAAAACGTGATTCTACGAAAAGGAACCAAGACTGAAGACTCTAAACCGCACCTTCGACAGTGGAAAAACATAGACATTGTCTGCCTCGAACGCAGCAAGCCCAGACTATATATATATATATATATATCTCCCGACGAAGCAGTTGGTTATGCTACTCCGAAACGCAGCACTACAGGTAAAGTAGATTAAGCAAGTCTAACTTCTAATCAGCGATGCAATAGCTAAAACGCCACAAAAATACCATGCTGAAGAAAGACAAGATGAACTGATTGTAGAGTCATTTAGATATTCCTGAAGAATTGGATGGGAATCATACATACCTGATCAAAACCTGATTAAGCAACAGTAAACATCAGATTAACAGAGTTATATTGACTAAGTTCTGGCTGCGGGCCGCGTCTTTCAGTGCAAGGAGCAAACGAGAGTTTATACGACAATGTCGAGAAGCAAAAAAAAAAACACATATCCATGAATACAGGACGGCGCAAGGTTCCTGTCTTGAACGTGTGACATATCTTCTCAATGTAATCTATATACTGTCGTGACAGTCATTACGCCACACAAGCCGCTATTCGACAACTGCGGCAGAGATCAATACTCTATACCCGTGCCTCCGCGGCTGCGACCTGATCGGTGCGTAAATAATTCCTTCGCAATAGCTCAGAACATAAATAATAAACATGTTCCTCTAGTTTTCATTGCATTTTTTATTAACTGGATGAAGGCAGGTTCCTCATAGATTCAAATAATAATAAAAGGATCACATGTGGGCTGCTCCAGTGCTTCAGTGCTTACTAAATTATTCTTACCACGACCCTTGAATCTCCGAGAAGAGCACATATACCTTCATTTTTGTGTGAAAAAAAGAGTTATGTCCGAAAATATTAAATCACTTTTCTTGTTTGACGACTTATTTATAAAATGAGTCCGTCGTGTTTGTTATAGTGCGCCATGAGCTTCTTAAAACCATTCTGCATAATGTAATATTGGAATATTCAGTGACGTTTCGCCCTTATGATTCTATTGCTTAGGCTTAACTTCATCTGCTGACCCCAGAAGAACGTATCGATAATTTTTTTCCGAAATAATAAAAAAATATTCCACAGCTGAGTTTGTGCAAGTTTGACTACCTCTGATCCTTTCAGTTCCTGAGTTCAATACAACACAAATAAGTGGTTTATTGAAAGGGTGACACACATTAAACTCGTTTGACTATCTGAATACTTGGCACCTCACATCAACTATACACTATAAAAAAATCCAGTGCGCCTACTTTCCCGCAGAGAACTTGAGAAAGTCACTTGCCGAAAAATACAGAGAGAGCTTCACGAATGACGTGGCTGAAATTATATTCAGCACTAATAATAAAGCCGACGCTGTTGCACTCAGCAGGACGTACGCTAGCTTCAAGCTCAATGTCACAACAAATACTTTTTTTCTTTTAAGTCGATAAAGATTTTCAGTTTCTTCATTCACCGAACTACCTCCGTACATAACATCGATTGCCCCTCCCAAAACGTGTTTTGTGCTCGACTCAGCCATTTCCTTAGAGCAGGGGTCGGCAAACGTTTACTGCACTTGGACGAATCTCCGCAGAAAGAGAGAGAGAGGGGCGGAGGGGTCTTTAAGAATATAAGTGTAAAAGAAACTGTCACATACTCAGCGTGATATGCAAAGATGACTCTTGATCTAGGCACACGTAACGTAATATTGCTTGAGCCCCCTCTCAGCAAGATTTTGGGTGATCAATATTGCTTACCATGCTGCAAACATTCCCCAATTAAACGCTTAAGTAAACGTCGTCAAACATTTTGGAGGAGTGAATTTGTCAATGGCAAAACCCACGCTTGCCTTCCCAGTCTTTATCTCGAAGAAATACGCTCGCAGATATAGTATATACTATATGCACGTGATGTAGCCATAGCACTTCAATCAAGGTCACTACGAGATTTCTTTTTTTAACTCTGGAGAGGATCAAGAAATCTTTCAGAGAGAGTTCACTGATCAGGTGGTCCCGAAAGAGACCATAATCTGAAGAATGCACTTGCAGCAAACGACTTTGGTAGGTTTTCTGGCGGGCTTCCTGAAGGAAAAGTCGGTTGCACCGGGTTTATCACTGGACGCGTTAGAACCGGGTTCGGTTCTACCGGGTTTGCAAACAAACATACCCCTTTCACTGGTGTTTGTGTTTGGGGGAGGGGGGCTGCAATAATATTGCCTCGCGGGCCGCCGGTTGACGACCTCTGTCTTAGAGTGTAGGGCAATGACAACTTTAAAAAAAAGATCTGCTCAAATAGTGTACCTTGTTAAGCCCGAACGTCTTGGTCAGTGCAAATCCCCAGCCAGCTTGGAAAGCTCTTCGAATCATGGCACTGGTTGTTGTGGGAGGTGCACTGGCGAGACCAAACGGGTTCTTGAACTTGAGTCCGCAGAATTCAACGCTGAGATCTACCAAGTCGATCGGGGTGTAGAAACGTGGCAGCGCTGGGATCTTGGCAACATCAATATTGTGCAGGGACTGTAGAACGAGAGGAACAAAAAGTATCAATGAAGTGCGCAGATGACAAAAAAAAAAAACAATAACGAACTTTCTATCAAATATTGTAAAACCTCTATTTTCGCGAGCTCTTAATTTTCGTGAATTGAAAATTCGCGAAAGTTAAGGGGAGGTAAAAATTTCGATTCTTAAGTGTTTCAATAGGGGCTTCAGGACTTCGCGAAATTTAGTGGCCGTAATTATGTCCTGCGTGACCCATTTGCAAAAAATAGGGACCACTAAAATTAAGGGTTTTACAGTATATGTGTAACCCGCCATCATGTATGTAGAACCGAGTTAAACTTAAATTTTAAGTTTGTAGCAGGACAGTAATATTGATTTGTAAGACGTGGCTTGCAGTGCACTAGGATCGACACATTTTGATAGGTTTATTTTATTTTATTCTCATTATTAGGGGGCTAAATGGAATTTCTTTAGCCATAACAACACACCAATATTTCTTTTAAAATGTTTATTAAGTTTAATCTTAATTAATATTTATCTGCGTTATAATCCAGGCAATTAGCTATTCACGTGCACAGAAATAAACAGAGGATGATTATAACGATGATAACATTGGGGCCGTGCGAATACAATAGTGGTTCAAATATAATATTATTACGGCATTCGTACCCATTAAAATGCAAGGGAAAGCCGCGATAAAGGATTCTCTTCACAGCACTGAACACCTACGAATGACATTGAGGTATTGGATCCGAACCACTATTCACTTTTATTTGCATAAACCTAATCAAAACGTATTTTCTTATCAGGTGTCAAAGGTTCACAGTGTTTTGTTTATTTCTTTTTTAAAGGAAGGGGTGGGGGGGTTGCGCTTGTGCTGACCTGAAGGTATTTATGGATGTGCCAAGACGCCGTCTTTCCGTCGTTCACTGCCTCGACGGTGGTCTCAGCAACGCCGGCGAGGTCTCCGCCACAGAACACCCACGGTTCACTGGTCCGCATGGACTCGACGTCCACTTCAGGTAGACCATGCTTGTTTAGCTTGAGGGGGCTGAGAGCGCCCACAACTGCGAACAGAAGGAACACCCGAATTAAGAGTGCAATGTGGACGAGTTTGTTCATGACTAGCAATAACAAAACATCGCACAAAAACACACTAAAGCGTGACCCGCATAATGAGAGCCAGGCAAACAATCACGTGATTCATGCATTTCCACTTCTTGCGCCGAGCGCGTTACGGGCGTGTCGAGTACGACCTACGCGGTTGGATCAGCATTCCGTTTCGTACACTGTAATATTGGTGTAATTAATGATGTTTTGCGACATCATTCCTGTGGCCTCATCATTCCTGTGGCCTCCAGGATCGCGTATTTGGAGATTATTATTTTCAATTTGGTGCACGGAGGCTGCAGAAACGAAACTTCAAAGTACCGCTGAAGCCCCTCCTTCCCAGGACAAGATATCCTATAAGGAGGTTTCGGAATCTCCGCTCTCGCGCATCTACAGCGCATATAAAAGCTTTGCACGCGCACTCTTACTATGTTCTAAGTGCTGGGGAAAATAACTGGCAAGCTTGCAATTTCACGCGCTGGCCCCACGAGCGACACGTGCTTGGCGGCCCAAAGACCCTAGTATGACAAGACGGCTATACTTCGTCTCACGTTAATATGAACTATTGTTAGCCGCGCCTAAAAGCGCGAGATAGTTGCTTCGAATGAAGCCCCGGCGGCTGCACGAGCGATCGTCCAGCGAGTGCTCCAGTCAAGGCACTCAAGGCTAGCCGCTAGCTCTAGCACAGCATTCCCGGTTAGTCCATGCTAAGGTGAGACGAAGTATAGTTGGAGGGTTTTTTATGTTTTCTCGCGTTTAGTTTCATCTTCAGGGAAAAAGGAGAAAACGAACGGGATATTCAGCTTCACGGGATAAAAATACGCCAGAATTCACCTCTAATTTGTTTTCTTACAAAGTGTTTCAGCTTCCCTTTAAATATTTTATTTATTCATTAAACAATTATTTAATATGCGCTTTAACAGTGCCAGAGTCCTTTAATACCCAACGGGTCCCGTAACTTCGGCCAACGTTTGGTGCAGGGTCAACAGTTGCCGCCAGGGGCGCTACTGATCGAGAGGGGAAATTTTGTTTTATCACCTCACTAGCCTCGCCAAATTTGAGATGACAAATAGTTTTCCATTAACAATATCTCGTACCCCGACATTTTGTTACGCCTGTAATGAATCACTGTATACAAGCAGAAGTCACTCTTTAATATTCTCAAATTAGGAAGGAAACTTACAAATAAGCGTTTGCATTCATTCTTAAACAAAACGATGTATTGCAAGCGAAAAAGAACCAAGCAGCTATGTGTATGGTACGGGTTCGCAGTGGCTCGACTTGGCGGCGCTGCTCGCGGCGCTGACTTTTGGCGGTGATAGCGTTATTAACGTGAATCATTCTTTGGATCGGTTTTCGGCACTTTGTGAAGCCCACATAAAAGCGTGACCGCGAGGCTCGATACTGATTGGTTGACGGGTTGCACAGGAGGAGTAAGGTGCTCGACGCTGATTGGTTAACGAAGAGGTCATGTGACCAGAGGGTAGGCGCAGAGGAGTGAGGTAGACGAGGAGGAGCTCGACCACCTCTGCGCGCTGAGGGAGAGGAGCTTGCAAGAATGGAAGGCTCTGGATGATCGCCAAGTTTATCAGCCAGAGTGGCGGTAGTATCGCTTCATTCGCAACCATCTGATCAACCAACTATCTGATGAAGTGCGCGTGAACGTAGGCGTCCGGCTTCTGGAAGTTCAGAGCATCGCTAAACGTTTATGAGGCTAGAACGTTTATAGTATGCAGCCTGATTGCCTAGCAATTTGCCATCGTAATTCTTATTTAATTCATTTTGAGGCAAAAAGAAATCAAGAGTGACATTATTTTTTAGAGTGTTGTAGAAAAGTAAGTACATTCATTGATTGATTTTGTTTCAAATTGTTATTTCAAATATACAGAAAGTTGTTTGGACCCATAGACATTAAGGCTGTGGGTCCAAACAACTTTTGGATGGAGGAGTTACGTGACCAGTAACGTATTCAAGGACTCTTATAGTATCTAGACGTACTGTCGAGACCGTTTATAAAGAAGTCAACGGGAATCGGAAATCACTTCGCTATATCCGCTATTTTGTTATAACCGACTTCGGTTATAACGAAGTGCAAACGGGAATGGGTAATCGTGATCGCTTCGCTGTAGCCGCTATTTCGTTATAACCGACTTCGTTATAACCGGTCTCGACAGTACTGCAGTTTGTATGGTCTAGTAGCATTGACAATGCAGCGGCAACGGCGACATCCGTCACGCTGCATTCGGGAGCACCCAGTAGGCTTCGGTGCGCGCGTTCATTTCTCGTCGCATTTTCGCGAGCGAGGAAACACTCCATGCGTGTCACGCCTGAAGCGTGAAACACAGGTGAGCGAAAATCGCGTTGCATCGCGTCGTCAAGCGGCGTAACCATGGGAACCGCCGCATCCGACGGACCAATGCCGTGACGTTCCGTGATAGCCTCAGCGACGGTTGCTATGGTTGCTCTGCTTGGCGGCGCGATGCAATGCGATTTCCGCTCGCATGTGTTGCAGGCTTAAGATAAGCGAAAGTGTCACACGAGACAAGCTGTCGTCATGTGCGCTCTTTTCGCTTGTCGTTACGGATCTTGTGCGCTCTTTTGCTATCCTGAGGATCCGGAAAAAGTTTGTAATGAACACAAATAGCTTGATTATTATTTCATTTCCTATCCCGCTTGACCTCTCTGTGTTCGTAAATAAACAATTCATCTCTCTTACTATCATAAAGAAAGAAAGAACAGTTTTACTTGTATTGGTGTGATGTTTCGAAGAAGATATGTATTGCGAAAACGGTTCGTGTGACCGACTAAAAATTCTACTAAATACAAGTAAATGTTAAAACTCCGTGGAATGTTCACCTCGAAAATTTACAATTTACTTCGGTTTGCGGTGTGTCATTCTTTATTCTGCCATGACGCTGAATGCTTTAAATATTACACGGCTTATTTTACGAGCTTATGTTAAGTGACAGACTGAAAATAATTTTTTTATACGCATACATTCCAGCAGAGTAAGCGCCAATTACTGCTGAATGCGAAATGGGTAGCACGAGTGACGGACCCCCCTCCCCCCATAAAAAAATACTATGGCTTGAAGGTGCAGTCAGTGAATTCTTTGTGCGCTGGTGAAACTATTAAAACTTCCAATCATTCTACTTTCCCAGAAGGAACTTGAGGTAGCCGATCACAGCAATCACAAGCTGAAAATATGGTTACACCTACAAAAGTTGTCTGCTCTGTGGCACAGAGCATGACCTTTAATGTGCTTAAGTCATCGTCTTTTTCACAACGCACACTGTTCGTTTACGCGAAAAAATTATATTTTACACTCGGCTTTGGGAGAACTACTGGAATATTTTGATTCTTCGGTGACTACATAATTGTATTGGGCGTAGGAACATAATAACAAAAGGTTGAGCGAAACTAGACAGATTATTCCGATTCAAGTATTCTCATATATTTCTTGGTGACAATCACATTTTCCTCGTGTTTTAGTAGTTATTTGACAATTAGGGGTTAAAATACAACTATCAAACGCTTTCTGCAACGTCTAATGTTAGCCTATATACCGATAACTCAAAGCGGTCAACAGGTCGAGATTAAAGGGGAAGTGAATACGTTTCAAGGCAGTTCTAATAATTTCCGAGCACCTTAGAAGCTACGATCCAGGTCACTCATCCGCCCTACCTGAGATGTCTTCGAGGGTTGACCCAAAGGCGGATATGACGAAGTCTGCCTTCAGCCTGACCATCTGTTCTTCGTCTTCGACCCATGTGCCGTCGTCCGCCTGCTCGGTGCGCAAGAACTCCATGGCCTTGATTCGTGTCCCATTCATCACCAGGTTTCGCGGCGACAGAAAAGGTAGAAATTCGCATTTCTCCTCTCTGGCCAGTTCCATCTAAAAGACGTATAGCGAACCAACGTTAGATAGACAACATGTGACACGCATAACATAATCATACTGAAAAAAAAGCGAGATAAATGACAGCAAGATATGAATCGCCATCGTCTCAGCTCAACACGGTGTCATAACGGGCCACATTCAGTCGTATTTTGAGGGGTATTTTGATGTGTGTTTTTTTATTTATTATGATGGCGTATCTACATTTTGACTCTTATTTAAGCCCGTCAATGAAATGCGCATATAATCACGTTCGTCTTAAGTGCAAGCGGAATAGAAAACTATAGTTGCAACACAAACGCACAGGCCTGAAACGGAATGTCACAACGCATTATTCGCACTTGATTGGATCACCTGGCGGGAACACACGCATAGAAACACAAGAAATGCCGTAATCTAGCGCTTTCTGAGAAGCTCGATTTGTCCCGTTGACTTGTAGCCTTGGTAGCGCTCAAATTTGAGATGAAACGAAGTATGGTAACCTGTCATCGACTAAGCTCTTGTGCAGTTGCGTTCATAAAGTAAAGTTTTAGTTTATTTTTTATTGGAACCAATTGGAACCACTTCAGTGGTTCCACAATAGTTGTTAGATTATCTCGTCTAACGCACTTATAAGTGCCATATTGCGTAAATTATTTGGTAGGTACGTACAAGAAAATAAAAAAATCCTGCATTTATCTCGTAATACAGGCTTCTCTTGCCTGTGCTGGAGCAACTATTGTCCACCTCTCCGTTCAATGGTAGCCATCACGATAAAAAGTTTCGTAGTCAAATAAAACACGAGGGGTGTCAACAAAGCGACCTTGTTTTATATTTAAGCTATTAGTAAAAACACGACCTTCTTCAAACAAAATTTTCTGTCAATCTTGTAAACCCTGTCATTTTAAGAACCCAGCTGTACTCGGTTAATATTGTTAGAATATAAGAGAGCTAGAAATTACAAAATTATTAATTTTAAAAAATTTTTACATAAAACACCGCATAAATTCAAAACGTTCTGTCTGGATGAAGGACGTAAAAAACATGTCCCTCGGAATCACCAGAGCTCGAATTGATAATTATTTGAAAGGATACAATTCAGACTTAGCTGTAACAATATCTTTCAAGCACAGTTGTTCACATGTCAATGTCAAATTTATCAATATAAACTTGAAGCGTCGAGGAAGAACATTGTGGTCAGACGGAAACTGTCTGAAACAATAGCCGTCTGGCTCTTAAGCAGCCGAACTTGTCTCCTTGTAAACTGTTCATTAGGGAATATTGGGAGAGTTGCAAGAATATGCCGAACCAACCCGCCAACGAGCCAATGTTTGTCCTCGTAAATATTCGACTCGTGAACATTTCAAAGTTTCGCCGAACGTTAGAAGCAAATTGTTCAAAGCGAAGACACCAACGTTTTTTAGCGTAAAGAAATCGAGAAATGCTTTTCGGGTTCACCGACTTATGGTAACATCGCCGGCGACTACGTTCTCACCTCTTCGGGCACAGCGCGGATGTTTGTAAAGCCTTTCCGAAAGACGACGAAGACTCGCTTGGCTCCGCATCTGAGCGCTGATGTCGCACAGTCGAACGCGGTGTCGCCAGCGCCCAGAACGATAACGTTGCCGAAAAGCGACGGTAGGGTCTGCTTGCAACCGCACATTCCTGGGAAAAATTAAAAGCCGGATACATCTGCTATGGTGGTGATACAACTGAAATTCCCTACATACCTCCCTCCCCCCCCCCCCCCCCCTGAAACCCTCAAATAAGTTCCAATTACGGAATGTTATATCGCTTTCAGATAGAGATGAATCCTATTTCCGTGCATGGCTACCTACTCAGGTTCGATGATAGTATAAACCCTAACGCTAAAGCGTGGGGCAATTGGTGAAAGTTGTAAATTGCAACTAACTTCCTCAAGATGCAGTGTCAAACATTTTGAAAAATTGAAAATTTGCTCCGTTATCACAGATCCAGTGCAAAAATAAACTTTGTTCGGTATACCAAATCTCTCTACCTCTCCACTGCCGTTAAAATACATCAGTCGCCACTAAAAATGATCAAGGAAGTTTGTCTTTACATAAAATTTACAGAATGTTGCAAAGCAAAGCCGCTTTTCTTAACTCATCTGAAGCACTCATCATATTCCGCCTTTGCTACGTTAAAGTCTTGTGCACACAAACCAACCAGTTATAAACCACAAATAATCAAAGCCAAAAAAATGTTAGGTGCAAGTTTGAAATTTAACAGTTAAAATACGACATTCCACGGCTTATTTTGAGCATATATATGCGCATATCCAACGTTAAAATCACGTCATTAATTTAATATTGAGACACCTTTTGTTTTATTTATCTATATGACTGCTACAACTCGTCTCTAATATCTAAAATTGATTTCCCTCGTATAATTACAATGCTCCCTTGGAGGTGTCATTGCTTCACCAATAATACCTTAACACAGAGCACAATGCACGTACCCGGCTTGCTAGCTCTGGATACCACTGGAAGGAATGTCTTCGATGTGTAAAATCCGTGGCTTTCGTCCAGGCCCTCAAATATCGGGATAACCTTGGGATCGGGCAGACCTGTACAAACGTAATCCACAGTTTTTTAGGCCACAGTTCGCCGCTGTTGTAGAAAACTCAAAAGTGGCGCTCGACCCTTTCTTTCATTCGCCTACGTCAATCCGGTATAATTCTTAACTAGATTCACTGACAGAATAAGAACAGCAGGGCGTGTCTTTCGGACGCCCGGAAGTGCTCCATGCCTTCCACCGTGCTCCATGCCTTTCGCCTTGCTTTGACTGCGCGTGCGAACTCGAAGTGCACGAGACGCTTAGGAATTGTCAAAGGTAAGAAGATGACGCTGGAGGCAGAAAAACTGAAGCTCCTTCACGCTGTTCTCACCTTGTCAGTGACCCTAATCGTTTTGAAAATAAACGTTGCTAACAAAGAAAATCTCTTGTTACCGATTCCCAGGAACACGGCGCTGTATTCCTTCCTCAGACACTCTAGCGTGAAGTCTCTACCCAGGGCCTTGTTAAATTCCACCTGAAATTGGGAACACAAGATTAACTTATAGACTGTGTAAGTTGTCCTGCCACATACACCGCGCACATGTTCACACCCCATCAACATTAAATAAAGCAGGGTTTACGGGAATATCTCTCATCATCACCGAGTCAAGCATTGGTTCGAAAGATTTCTGTTCGCACATAAGACAAATCTTGCGGAAATCGACAAGTGTTTACGCTTTGTATAAAGCCTTCATTTGACAGCGGGGTAGAGATTTCACGCCCCGGGTGCTCAAGTGAACTCTCGTCATCTCATCACGTGACTTTACACGTTGGGTTTTAAGACTCGGAAAACCAGATTATGCGATTGCTCGAATGCACCTAAAGTGCACTCAAGTTCCTGCTTGAGAGTGAAGGGGCTATAGCCGACAGCGAAGCGACACTGGATATCCTCTGTTGTTCCGTTATCACCACACCATCAGACTTCAAATGGAAATTATTTCAATGGAGTGAAACTAACAAAAACATCAATATGCTCAATTGTTTTTAGTTAAGGAATTAGTCTGACTGTACACCATTATATAAGTAACCCTATTACCCTTCAATACTCAAAGCAAAAAAAGAATGAGTTAAAACTGATGAGCCTTTGTAATAATTTAATAAACATAGGTTCTTTGTTCACTATGTAAAAAAAAAATAGTGAGTGTTGTAATAGTCACTGTCAAGTTAAGAATCGCAGAGCGTGTTGAGAGTCCCGGGCGTCTTATTTATTATCGCGTTAGAGCCGGAGAGATTCCGGTGCTAGCCGATAACGCCTAAGAGCGAACTGCGACGCAAGAGGTGTTAGCATTATAATCCATGCATTGTGTTTCTCAAGCTGCCAGTCACTATTCGCAACTCCAGAGCGCCGCCCGTCCTCACGTGGACGAACGGAGAACCAGAGAAGCGGGGACGGCAGCGGCGGTGTCGCGGAAACGATGGCAGGGACTGTGGGCCTTGATGTGTGAAGCCTTTTTATCGAAGAAGGTGAGCGCGTTAAAAAAGGAATTCTTGTGCTCCGCCTTGCAACAGCCTTGCACGAAGGACTGGGATGTCTAATTTTATTAGACAATTTACGTGTATCGCATACGCTGCGGATATCTGGTCTTGTGGATGGCCGCCAGCTCAATCCCTGCTCAACGTGACGGCGGCAAAAGCTCCCGCTAATAATGCAGAGCTCTATAGTAAGGTCTACGGAAAGTCTATTCATTGCCATAAGAAGAGAAAAACTCGTCGCGCAACGGTATGTCGAGCAATACAAATCGGGAATGGGTTCGCGTTTTAAGGTCATAACAAGGAACATCATAATTTATTCCAAGCCCTTTAAAAATACAGGATACCCGTACCGGCTTTCAGGTAATTAGAAAGCAAATAAAGAAATGCTCGAAGCATTTTAAGCGCATCTGTGTTAGCCAGCCATTCGTAACGAGAGCTTAGAACGCGAGTTCTGGCCAGAGGGACCGCAATGTTGCAAATAACGCGGTACAAAAAATGTAAGGTATATTAAAATTTTTATTCTTAATAGAGCAATAAATAAAACCCCTAAGCACGGCGATTATGCTAATAGGCAGTTTTTGAAAAGCGTACGACACCCCTAAACTTCAGTTAAACGTAAGTACAGCGCACTGACGTTCAACCGGCGCTACCAACGTTCACGAGCGGCTTGATAGTCGAGTTGTACAACTTATTAAAATAGCTTAAGTAAGCGTAAATGAATGTAAAAAAAGAAAGTAATCGGGGTGTTCTTGTCTTTACTGCAAAACCTCGGTATTTTTTTTCTGTACTTTTTGATGCGTGCTTCAGCTGTTTAATATATTATATTGCGCCGTCATCAAGCCTCTCGTAAAAGTTGGGGCCCTCAGTTTGACGTCAGTGGGCTGCACGGCGAACTTAAATTTTGAGTGTCGTATATGTGACAAGAAGTGTAAGGACGACAACATTTTTTTTTTTTTTTAGAGTGATGAGCACGGCAACGTTCCTGGCGCGCACTGAAAATTGTGCTTCAAAGGCGCAGCGCGAGCTTGCGGTTGTAAGGCTACACCGCACGGTAGCCTGCGGTAACAAACTTTCTATCAATGACCATAGAGCAGTTGGATTACGATTTGCAATACAATAAAACCGAGACGGTGAGCAGCGAGTTGTGAGGCTGTGACGCGAAAACACCAATACTGTGAACGCTGCTCTTCCGAAGCTTGACGGTCACCGTTCGCGGCTTTCTATTTAGAGCACTAATAGCCAGGCAAAGCGCAAACATATCATTACCCTCAAAAATATTCTGCCACAAACAGTAACATGGCCGGTGCCTAAAACGCACTTGCTCACCACAAAGCTTCGCAATTTGACGTTTCTGCAACTTCTACATAACACCATTCTCGTTTTCCCAATGTGCATCAGCATCTCCGTCACCTGCAATATGATCCCCCCCCCTAACGGCTTCGCATTTGTAGACAAATGAATCATTTTTAGCGCGCTGAGCAGCGCCAGCAAGCAGGCGCACGGGATATCCTGGAGAATCTATCCCCGTCTCTTCCGCCATCTTGGAACTACCGCCCCGCCACCTATAGCGCGTTGGAGTGGCGAATAGAAATTTTGTTTAATGGCAAGCTGAAGAGGTTTTAAAATAAACAAGATAGGGGTGAATTCTAGAGCCTTTTTATCCCGTGAATCTGAATATCACGTTCGTTTTCCCCGAAGGTCTAACTAAACGCGAGAAAACACGAAAAACCTCCGACCAGTGGTTCCGTCATAAAATAATCTTTCGGCCGCCAATCCCGTGTCGCTCGTGTGGGCAGCGCGTGCAATTGCAAGCTTGCCCGGTATATTCCCGTGCACTCACATCAGCCGTGACCGTCTTTTTCTGACCTTTTGAAAATAGCAAGGGTGCGCGTGCATAGCTTTGATAGGCGCTGTAGAAGCGCGAGAGCGGAGATTCTGAAAGCTTCTTTTATGACGTAACGCTCTGTGAAGGAGGAGCTTCAGTGGTAATTTGAAAACGATTTACTGCTGCCTTCGTGCACAAAATTAAAAACTAACCTCGATATTCGTCATCCTGGAGGCCAAATGAAGACGATTTAAGCGTTCTTCCTCAAATACAGAAGCGCTTCAGCTTCCCTTTAAGCATACGCGCTCAGTTAACACGCACGCCATTACGTGCTTTGTTCTACCAGCCAACTGAAGAAAGCAAAACAAAGGACGAGCGCCTTGGCTACACGGTAATTATCACCTTGGGTCGAGGCAGAGATCAAGCGCAGCTGGACATTCAATCGAATGCTTGCACCATCTACTCTGCCCGAACAGATAGAATCTGATCGACTTTATTTACAGGTCCTGAGCTTACCTTCACGCCGAGGTCTTTCACGAGGTCCAGCTCGAACGAGACGACATCGTAGGGAAGCCGGTACTGTGGAATTTCGGCGGAGCTGCAATGAAGGTTTATCTTTAGTCGTGCGTTCGTGAGATTGACACTGAGCTGGGTATGCCAGTGGTACATCTGACCTAGAATGGTGTCATGAAAGGGAGCTAAATAATCCGTAGAATTAAAAAAAGCTGCGGTTTTATAAGGTGGCGTACTTTGTGTCAGCTCAGGTCCAAACGCAGCAGACGATATTAACTGGTGGGATCATCCAGAAAGCGTCAAAAGCACACCATAATTGTGTTCTTCTGTTCCTCGTGTTTTTGTACGTGTTTTTTCCTCACTAAACCAATCATAAGCAGACAACGCCTAGTGCCTAGCGCTCTTGACGATGATTGAATTGGTACCATTGCCTCGTAGCGTGGTCTGCGTCTGAACTTAAGCTCAAACGAAAGTATAGAAGCCGCTTTGTAACTCATGTGTGGCAAGATTTTGTTTTTCCTCTTTTAATTGTAGCAACGACGCAATCGCCGAACCAAACAGAGCTGTCATCTAGCCCAACGCCTCCTACATAACAAAGCCGCTGTGCTAAAGGTTTGACGTCACCTAAAGAAGGCCAACGCAGGGCACGGACGGAGCACGAGTTCTGTATCAGCGTTTAACAGGGACATCTGTTCTATCTGATTCAACAGGGGTCTCACCCGGTCGCTGACGCGGCACACGTATCTACGTTGTGCCCCGCATTGGTTTTCTTGAAGTGTCGCTAAGCATTCAGCACTATGGCTTTCCTATGGAAAAAGTACCAATTTTCACTCTCCTCGAATTCATGGAAAGGAGAAGGGCAAGAAGAAAAGTGACGTCATTAGAGGGATGTCTGATAGTACCTCTTTTTTATCGTTGGCCGTCTATCAACGCGTTCTGCGGGTTCCTTAGCATTGGTATCGCGCAAACATTGCTTGAGTGAAAGAGACCGTTTTCGAGTGACGGTTCCCATGTTTAAATACGACGTAGCTGCGTTGGGCGACAAGCAAAAATAATTTAGATAGTTCAAGCTTAACCACAATAAAAAAAAGTCAAGAAGAAATGTAGAACGAAGGGTACTAATCCCATGGCTTTTAGCGCCTTCCAATTGGCAAATAAAGTGATTTGCTATATTTCTTCAACCTAGCTTTAATCAGAATCCAAATTGGCTGCCGCCACGAAAAAGACGGTCTGTAGTCTGGGTCCTAAGCCCCTTCAGATATATCCGTTCCTGTGCGTTTAACGCTTCGTTGAAGATTAGTTGTTGACTTGCAATAAAGCAATATTTCAAGCGCGCGCTGCCTGAATTTATTTCTCGGTGTATACCTCTCAGTAATGGGATAACGGGAAATTTAGTGTTCTTGTTTTACATAGCAGATCTCGAATTGTTGCAAAACGTTATTCCGATCAATATGAAGGTCGTTGATCATTGGCTGTCCTCCTAACCTTAATACATTTTCTACGTGCTTATGAATCGTGATCATGGATGGCTGGGAGCGGGCCCTTCGGTTAAGTGCACTGGTGATGTTACCCGCCTCCCTAATACACTATCCCACAAACTGACGTAAGTTATTCGCATCGTCACCGAACATTTCGCTGCATAAGGTGCAAAGAATGTGCACGCAACTTTAACAAGAAAAAGAAATTATCTTATTTTTTCCATTTCGTACAGAACACACCATGACGTGGCGTGTTTCATGCAGGAAAGCCGTAACAGCTGGCTCATATACACTTAGGACCTCAAGACGCCCGTGACCAATCATAGGTGGCAGTGAGGTCCATCGAATTCCCTTAGTCATCGCTGCACATATTAAAAAAAAAAGCTATTTGAATTTATTTATGCTCTATTTCCTTTACATTCTTGAATCCAGCGCTCAAAAAGCCGAAAAAGGCCGCTACTAATTTAATTTCACATACCTTAGTCCACCGAAATAGGACTGCTTCTCAAAGATCACGATGTCGGAGTACCCCAGCCGCGCAAGGAACGTGGCACAACTCATGCTTGCGGGTCCGCACCCAATAAGAGCGATTTTGGCTTTGTAGCTTTGGGGAAGTTCGTGGAGCGGAGGAAGGTCCGGAGGCCGTATTTGAGGGATTTTCATTTCCTTGAAGACCTATATGGACATTCAATGCGTTAAAACGTCATTGTCTGAAGAATGTTTAAGTCCTATCAGTCTACTTCAGACGCAAGGTGTACTTCAGCTTCAAGTTTCACTATAGAAAATATGCACAACTTTATATTTGGAATGGGAATATTCAGGCCAAAATTACATTTTTCACTAAAATTGTATTCAATGGTTGAGAGAGTTTCAGGGTGTTTATTTTATGTTGCATAATTAAAGTCACCACTCTCGTTAATATACATTTATACGTTATTTGGATTTTTATACGGGTCAGTCTTCCCCAGTTTTATGCTGGTGGAATCACTTTCTTACCATGCAATTGAACAACCTAGAATGTTGTCAGTAGTTGCGATAAATATTAAAACTATTTATTTAAAGCATCCTCCTCCTGAACTTAAGCAATACAAATAGCAATGAAGCTCAAATTTAGCAAATTACAAACACCCCCACAGAGTTCTACGAGTAGTTGGAAATTATAGTAGGGACTTAAGAAAATTGCGACTCAGACACTTCTCATAAAATGAAATACGTTACAAGCAAATCAACTATATTATATTATGTTACTGCAATTAGTTTATAAAATAAAGTTCTATGTTAGTGTCAGCGAAACAGAATCCACGTCGTATGTTTTTTGTTTTGTTTTTCATGCTGCACGAAGGACACTTCTAACCCAGAAAAATTACGGGAAACAGTGTTCACAACACCAAATATTTAGCTTAATTAACAGCACACCCTATATAAATTTTACAAAATAATCTATGATATTTAAACAATAATACAATAATACAGGGCACTACTGATATGCAGTGATGTTACATTTCAATAAAATGAAAACCACATTGTGTCGTAAATAGAAAACAAAATTACGTTTCAATACTTTGCTCACGGTGCTGTTAGGGCGGCGAAAATGCGGCGAAACGGCGGCGCCGTCAGCGCCGCATTGTCCCCCTGTGATGAACTTGCGAAGTAAGAATGAGGTAGGATGACCTTAAAACATTCGCGATACGCAGCGCAAGTTTTTTTTTTTTTAATTTTTTTTATGAGGTTGAAAGTACGTGGGATGTATAATTGTACGAGATTCAGGGAAAAGGAGAGTTTAAATTCGCCGCGTGCGTTTACTGCGCCAGGAGAGGTGACACTGACGAGAAAAATTTCCTGAAACATGGGGCGAAATTCCGAATGTGGGGTTCTGTGTTGGAGGTTTAGGTCGAAACTCCCACAGAAACAAATCTGCAAATTTTTTTTATTTTTTTTTTTAGTTAAGCTTGTTGTTTTTGTTAGGGGAATATTTGGGACTAGTCGCTGGTCACAGAGAGCTGTCACTCATCGAGCACAAGGTCATTGAAACAATTTCGCCCAATGACGTGCCCTTATTTTCGCCCTATTATTACAAATTAATGTCCAAACTCTCTACATATACGGCTCCGGTATATGCTAAAGCTCCTGTATAGACTCCCTACGGGAGCCAGTGTTGAGCGTTCATCCCCGTTGCGCCGGCTTTCCTGCATAACATTTGGAGTCTGCTCCTCACGTGACTGAATTCGGCGAATAGAGGCGCCGCGCGTTCGAGACGCGAGGCGCCGCCGTCAAAAGCAGGGGAACGTACGGCGGAACGCGCGCAACGTCTACTTTCCTGCACGGCATTTGAGTCGGCTCCTCACGAGATCGGATCCCGGCTAATAGCGGCGTGGCGGCACGTGAAAAGCAGACGCGCAACTCTGGCTCCCGTAGGGAGCCTATACTAGAACTCTATAGTATATACTATCAAAAAGATCCCTCTGCGCTGCGCCAGCTAAGCAACCCACAAAAAAAAAAAAAGAATAGTATACTGCATATATTTTGCCACATTCGGGCACTACTGTTAGCGACGGATCAAGTGCCTCGCACTCACGTCAGTGGCGAATTGCTGCAGTCCACCGATGTTAATGGGCCCTTCTTCGGAAGCGTACAGATTGCAGCCCCCGACGCAGAGATCGCTCGTGGGACAGACCATTCCGCAAGTGAGTCCCAAAGGGTTGTCAGAGAAGATGGCCTTCGCAGCTCCGTAGTAGTTCTGGGTCGGAACGGTGCTCGCATTACCAGTCGTGCGTGAAAAGGGGGAGAACGAAAACTACTGTACACGCTAACTTCCACTGGGCAAGCTCGTTGACCTCACCGAATAAAAAAAAAGGGATCTCTTTTAGTCGGAGTCAAATACATTTGAATAATTTTGCTCCGTCGGGTAGAAACTAGGCTTGAGCCGGACGTATTGTAATTTGTCAATATTAGGCAACATTTCTTTCATAGAATGAAATTGGGCTGCAAATCTTTTATAGTTTTAAGAGAATATTATACATTGCACAACCGCTAACATGCGCCGTGTTCTTCTACTTGTAATTCTCCAAGTAATACTGAAAGCTATAAACATATACGTTTAGTGGGGTCCTTAGTGACTTTTTTTTGTGTGTCTTTTTGCGTACACTACACGAAAATGTTTTCGATTTACCGAGACAACGGTACTGACGAGCTTTGACCTTTACTTCTTTAGATTGTTGCACCGAAGGAGCATTTTACACCACGCGTGTTATTTTAAAAATAAGAAAACGCCCATAGCAGGTTTGTTCTAACTGTGTAGTACTCACGTCTGTTTTTGTTCGAGCGAAGTACGAAAGCACCCAAAGCTCTAAGTTACCACAAAAAAAATCTTGCGGCAATTTATAAAATGGCAGGCCGTTGGCTTTTCTTTATAAAGAAAACTTGGCTTTCTCAGACCTGCCATGGAAAGACTGCGTGCCTTGGCAAAACTTTGGTTTCAGTTCTAAGCTGAGATCATGAGATTTAAAAAAAAAAATTGTGTGGCCTTTAAGAATGATATAATACTGATCTAACTCCATGTTTAATGGCTGTTGAGAACAGAAAAAGAACACTACGGGAATTTCAAACAGCACTAAATAGTTACTCCGGTCTGAAATCGGTGTAAATTCCCCAGAAACTATGACTTCCTTCGTCTACAACAAGCACTATAAATAATTGCATATTTTGTCAAGCCTCCATATAATGGTTATGGTAAAGACAAACATACGCTACTGTTTTTCAGTAAAATTCACAGGCAGTCTGTTTTTGCGAGGCGTGATCAAAACGTTTCGGGACTTATTTTGTACCACAAAAAGAGTGGCCAGCACACTTATGCGCGCGCAGAAGTCGAAGCAAGGGCCCTTCGTGTCTACATAAACCCAAAAGGCGTCGGTCTGTGAACATTTGGAACTGCGCTATACGAGTTTGTTTGACCACATGCACGAGCATGATGGCGATCTCTTCATAGACTGCAAACCAAAGCGAGAGCGAACATCAATTTTACGTCAAACTCGGCAAATATAAAACAGAAACCCTCTAAAATGGTTTAGAAGGCTTATGTCAAAAAACAGTCAGGTATGCGAGGTGTTTGGAGTGGCACTCCCACTTCAAGAATGTAAGAATGTCACTGAAGCCAAAGAGAGTTCGGACAAGGTCGTCCTACCTCTTCGTCTTCCAGCGATGTTCTGCCGTTCTTGGAGTCCGAGCGCGACTTAAAGCACCTTGCAAACTTCACTGCTTTTTGACACGAGCCCGGCTGACTCATTTCAAAGGTCTCTGTTTTATATTTGCTGAGTTTGACGCAAAATTGAGGTTCGCTCTCGCTCTGATGAAATCGCCATTGCGTCCCTGCACGTGGTCACAAAAACCCGTGTAGCACAGCTCCAAATGTTCACAGAGCGACGCCCTTTGGTATAACAACACACGAAGGTCCCTTCCTTTGACTACTACCCACATATCACAGTGCTGCCTTCTCTTTCTATGTTATAGGATCAGTCCTGGAACGTTTTATCACACCTTGTAGATTGCTGAATTTTCCGCTGGGCTCATTTGTGCGCAACTCTCAATACACTAGACAATAATTTAGTCCAGCGATCTTCATTAGATAACTTTACGAACATATTCAAACGTCCAAAACAAAAAATAGATAATCTCACAATAAAGAGTTTGCTCGTGGTATACTATCAAAGTCGATGTTTGTTAAACGAAATCGTTATTGGTAAACAGACGGATAAATAATCAATATTACTTAGTCATTTTATAAAGATATGCGCTATTTTCGTACCTTGGTGGCAATGCTGCTGATGAAAGCTTTGATATCCAGTTGCGTCGGGCAACCCTTTTGACATGGCGCATCGGCGCATTTTAGACATCTGAATAAAACAGAAGCGTGAATGAAGTTAACAGGGAGAATTTAGGATTTCATGCGAATCGCCAGTTCCGCGGGTTACATCGTCTCTCTCTAATAACTAAAGTTAAATATTTAAGTATTTTCTGCAATATCCACTCGCAACCAGTTCTTGCAATTATAATTAGCGCTCTTTTGAGCATTTAGTAATGAATAACATGGTCTGGGCACAAAACGATTTTGATCGAGGAAAGTTAACATTTCTAAGAAATCATCGAAGTTGCGAGCACCAGTTTTGTTTATTTTATTATAAAACGTTTGCACTACTGTCAAATATCCGCACGAACAAAATAACCAATCCATCTTGCCATTATTATCAATCCATCAGTCAGCGGACAATCGTCAGCTTCGCTCAATCTCTGTAAACGTTCACTGTATCGGTTTTGTCTACTATGCGTTCACACCGAAAGCACTCTCCTGCCATCAGCTTTCATAATTTCCGTATGAAAAAGCTTCTGACAAAAAACGAATATCCTACATAACTGTCCCATTCGCTTACCTCGCAGCTTCACGTAGTGCACCCCTCTCGCTCAACGTGGTGTGCTTAATGTCGTCGAAATTCTTCTCGAGTGGCTTGCAGGACTGTCATAGAAGCCCAAACCAAATTATGTAGACAGATGCTTGCGACTAACCCCTGCTTAGAGTAATTCATCATCAATAACTGCATGCCCTTTATTACGTGTCAGGTGCACAAAAACAACTCTATTTACAAGGTATTCATAAAAAATAATATGAAAAATGATAATTCCACCAATAAACTGGCATTCTTGACAAAACAATTAATATATATACAATGTAACTTAAAGCTTGCATGTATTTATCTTCTGGTCGTGAGCTCCCCCTTTCTCCAACACTTTCCAAGCTTTTGAGAAATGAACCTTCTCTAAAACGTTGTTCTCGCAAATGAGAGTTGGGCTGTTTTAGAATTAATACTGACATAGAGCTTTATTTTTGGACATGAATTGTGGTGTATCGAAGCATCAGAAGAACTCTTTCTCAAATTTATGCGTTCTCAGTTTTTAATAAATGACCTAAAAAAGGATATCAATTTTCTACTATACTCGAATACTTAAACTATATCTACTTGAATGTATGTATGGGAACTTCGTGAAATATGATGTCTTAGGGAATTGTATAATAAACATTTTCACAAATAAAAGACCTCAAACCGCCCTCGTCATAGTATACCCAGAACATCTAAAAGGATGTTCTGATGCAAAAAAGTGATGTCGGTTGGTTTGTGTTGGTTTCTTACTTTGATGCCTTCTGGGGCTGAGCTGTATATAGGGTACATCTTGCACATTTTGTCATCTAGCAGAGGTATAGTTTCCTTGTTCTGCTTTTTTTTTTTTTTTACTTTCTTTACAAATTTTACGCGTAGTGATAATTAACATTAGACAGCAAAGCAAAGCTTGCGGAGTTCGTTCTGATCCCTTGAATTGAAAGAGGATCCGCTCCATTCTCCATTTATAACCGCAAATCGGAATTTGCTTTGACACCATTGCTTTCTCTGCGAGGAGGCTTAAAAAACAACTTACGCTGCATTTCTTGTCAATGTTGCGTTTCCAATGATGCTTGTTCTTCTTTGTCACTGCGCTCGGAGTGATAGTGGCCGTCTCCTTTATCTTGGGGTTGAGCGCCAAGATATTCTGCGTGAAAAAATGTGTTATTGTTACTAAGGAGCTGCACTAATGAATAATCAAGTGTGCGGAACACAATTGACTGTGACGAAAAAGAAGCAAAGCACGTCGACTTATTGGCAGAAGGTATATAGGCCACTGATATGTTAAGATATGCGGAGCGTGGTTTATCATTTTCACGTTTTTCTGCGTCGTGATTGGTTCTTTCGTTTTCCTTTCGGCCAATACCGGAATATCATTGGATGGCGAGCGATACTAGAGAGTTTTAGTATGGTGCCTGGATCGCGTCTTCGACTGGTGTGTTTAGCGTCCTATCCCTCCCATACATCAAAAGTGGTCCCAAAGTGGCAACAAATGACGTCACAGAAGCCGGAGTGTCATGGTGTTGCCTGTCGCAATCCTTGCGGTTGGCCGTAGAAATACTGACGAATAGCACGAGCGAACGGTAGTGTCGCTGTCGTCACTGCGTCCCAGGCGTCCCAAGTTCCGGCTGCTCTAGCTTCCGTGAACTGTCACAGTGGAGAGCGACCTGCAGCAGGACAGGCGTCTGCTTTTTGTACCACAACAGTTGGGACGCCGCCAGGGTCGCGACCGGCGACAACATGACACTTGTATGACGTCATCAGGCGGAACTCGAGGGACCACTTTTTTGGCCGCGCTAAACACACCAGTCGGAGACGCGTTCCAGGCACCATAGCTTTAGGGAACCGTTTTTGCACATCCGATATGGTACGATGGGCCCTCCGGCACGAACGGCGCATATGTGAGTCTTCTGTGGTAGCGCATGCGCAGTTAATACCGGAGGACCCATCGTACCGTATCGGATATGCAAAAATGGTTCGCTAAAACTCCCCAATAAGTCGCTCCGCACTCGACTCACCCTGCATTTCCCAAGCGGCCAACGTCTATAGAACTTCGCAGAATAAATTACAATTCTACGACCAACAACACTGTTGACAGTCGCCCGCAACAATTCCAAAGTCATATATGCGACTGAAGTGATAAAACCCAAACGAACGAATAAGTGAACCCACGAATTAGAAGTAGCATAAATATAACCGGTACGCGACATCACGGTGTCTGCATAGATTGTGATCAAAGATTTATCTGCTAGCCGTTGGTCATCTGCGGGTATGCACTCTGACAAAAATTCAGCACTTCTATTTCATTGTAGGGAACTCAAAAAGCAAATCACTGGAGTTTACGCGAAAAGTTCAGCGAGTGGGGTGACCGCCCCTACAAAAATATGTATGGACGCCCTATGTCCATACTGTTGCCGTTCTATTACCTCTTTGTCCATCCTATGGATTCCTGTAGACAGTTCTTAGACCGTCTATGTACCATTGGTTTGCCACAGAATGGACACAAAAACGCTATAGAGATCTTCGCGAAAGAAAAAGTTTTTCATACCTTTCTATTTCCGTTCTATGGTCCCGGTGAGTCTATGGTCATCCTATTGCCTCTCTATGGTGTGAGCTATATATTGGGGCATTAACAAAGTGATGCTGGGTAGACGTTTTCTTTAGGTGTAGCGAGGTGTCCGAGTTAAAGAGTTGTTAATTAAGTTCCGGGTATCAATATGTTACATTGATGTCTAGAGGCATATCCAACCTCAGGGTATACTCATTGTGGGGATGGAAGTGTTTAGTATGTGCCGGAATAATGTTTATACTTTCTCAGTGGGAGGTAGGTATATGTGGGTCGCTGCGGCCCCCGTAGATATTCGCAACTTTCACAACCCATAGTGGGCGCACTGGTGCCTATCAAAATTGCGGTCATCTGGATGATCGTCGTAACAAAGCGGTATACTAGGCTGGGTCTGCGCGCGACGCGTAAGTAATTGTAGTTTTTGCTATATACGCGCAGTATCAGAGACTTACTTTATGTTTTTTTTTCACGTCAGGAAAGTGTAGGCAAGCCATTTTATTATGATGCCAATCATCCAGGAGCTAGGGAGTGCGATTCTCACACCGCGGTACCACCATCGCTTAAAGTGGCTTCTCTATGGACCCCGTAGCGACTCCGTGCAGACCCTGTATGGCTTCTCTGCAGACTCCATAAGGAGCCCGTGTAGACCCTGTATGGCTTCCCTGTGGACCCTGTATGGCTTCCCTGTGAACCCCTTACGTACTCCCTATGGACCTTGTATGGCTTCTTTGCAGACCCCTAAGGACCCTACGCTCTTTAAAATGACTTTTACAGAGCACGTTTTTGCGTAAAAACAAATGGGGAAAAGCTCTTTTTGTAGAACCCTTTATTGGAGATCAGTACAAAGTGACAAGAGCGTGATGTTTGCATACACTTTTAGCTTACAGGGTGTTGCGGCACAATCAATATTTCTTTTTTACAGCCATGCCTCACCGGAAACTTCAGGTAGCGCGTCCCGACTTGGGTGCGTCCTAACTTCGGTGGTAATTCGCGGCGTGTCCGCATGGAAGATGGGGTTGGCATCCCTGAAACCCCTCTTTTACCGTATATGTTTCGGCGCCAAAGTGGCCGATTACAGCCAAAGCAGAACAGTCACATGCTGTCGAATATCGATAGTCCCAAACCAACACACGCAGTCATGCAGTTGTCCGAGTGGCCGCTGCGGGTGGAATGGTGGCGTTGGGATCGCAATCAGTTTGGTTTTCGAGTACAGATCGGTGCCGCTTTTTCAGAGCAAACTCTTTAGCAGTTTCCCAACTGACTTGCACTAGAAACGTTGGTCGGTGCGGGCCCCATAGCAGACCCCCTGCAGACTGAGTGGCTTCTCTGCGGACGCTGTAGCGACTCCCTGTAGAGCTGGTATGGCTTTTCTGCAGATTCCATGAGGACCCTGTGTAGACCTTGTATGGCTTCCCTGTGGACCCCCTAGGGACTCCTTGTAGACTTCGTATGGGTTTTCTACAGGCACCCTATAGACACCGTAAAGACTCTGTGTAGACACCCTATAGAGTCCCTATGGACTCTATATGGCGCCTTGCCATAGAGAGGGTATAGGATGACCACACGTCATCCATAGAATAGGACGTCCATAGAACGTCCGTTGACCAATATTCTATAGGGCAGCCATAGGACGACTTCACGGAGGCAACAGAGGTCGTGGTCCGCCTATAGATGCCTTTTGTCCTTCCTATGGAAGCTGGTCTATAGAACGTCTTAGAAGTGTCCATACATATTTTTGTAAGGGTGGAAATACATTTTCCCATCAAAATGGCGCTTGCGTTGTGACATGGACCGCTTTCTTCATATCCAGTGTATCCAGTGTAAGTGGGCATGGATGCACGCCAAAGATGCCCATTTTAAACTTCGTTCTTCTAACCCTACAGTTCTCAAGGGGGGCAGCTTTTGGCCTCCAACCTGGCTCCTCAGGCGCCAATGTGTCTGGACCAAGGGATTCGCTCGGCATGGAAGGCGTCCCCTTTATCGGAGCTTCCAATACAACCAAGGAGTATTTGGGCCAGGCAACCGAGGCAACCATCACTGTTATCAAACAGCTTCGCCTCTGTCCTTCTGGAACAGCCAAATCGTCAGCTGCATCATCACGATGGCCTAGAAAGCTGGTCCCCTCACCGTGGATCGACAGTGGGCATGGATGCACGCCAAAGATGCACATCTTAAACTTCGTTCTTCTAACCCTACAGGTTGGTAATCAAGACGATTGTTAATGTTTAAAGTCGAACGATGTCTGTATTGTAGTGCTTCCATGCCCAGAGGCTTTGTTGAGTTCGTTTAGAGTGTTTTTACTGTTACTTGGTGGTGATGTCGAGACTAACCCCGGTCCAACTAATGCCGAACTGGCTAAGCAACTAGATGAAATTAAGCGGTTTATGTTAGATACGTATGTGCGTACTCAGAGGGTTAAACAAGGGCAAAACAACATACTAACCTCGATTAACGAACTAAAATCAAGTCATGAACAACCGAAAGTCAAGGTTGCAAATAACGGTACGAGGGTTTCTACTATCGAAATCGAGGCAGCTTCAATCGACGAATTTCACCATGAGTTGGCTGGTGCCCACGAAGCTGTTCAGCGCGTTGAAAAAGATTATAACCTTTTGGGCACCTCAGATTAGACTAGATTGAAGACCAGTCACACAGAGATAACCTTGTGTTCCATGGTGTAGTTGATTGCGCTGGCGAAACTTGGGCCCAGGCGGAAGGTAAGGTCATAGGGCAACTGTCAAAATACGCTTCGCTTAGTGCCCACCGTTTAGGTTCATTTGTAACTGGAAAACACCGTCCTATTTGAGTGAAGTTCCAGTCCTTTAAAACTAAAGAAAGTGTTTTGCAGCTCAAACCCAGATTAAAAGCCAGCCCTGCTTCTGTCTCTGAAGACTTTAGCGCTTCGACACGCTTGGCTCGGCGTAAACTACTTGAATACAGGAAAGGACAGGAAAGCTAAAGTATAAGAAACTGTTTATCAATAACACGTTCTATGCGTACAGTGAAATCGAAGGCTCCGTGTATGAACTATCCACGCCCCGCCACCAAGTTTCTGCTACGGCAGTCCCTTCCCATGCCCAGAATGTGCCCCCTACCGCTGCATCTTTTTGGCAACCAGTGAGAGTCAGTGATACGCGTATGACTTTCAAAGATATTTCCGTTTTGTTTACTAACATTCGCAGCCTAATCCGTAAACGTGACGAACTGCGCTCAGTTGCCGATTCATGCGATGCAGACGTCATTACCCTTACTGAGTCGTGGCTGTCTAGCAAAGTGACTGATAGTGAGTTATTTCATTGTCAGAAACGGTTCAACACATTCCGCTGCAATAGACGGAACAGGAGTGGCGCTGGCGTTTTGCTGTCGGTTGCTGATTCATTAATTTCTCGTTCTGTCATAGTAGCCAATGAACTCGTGATTGTATGGGTCTGCGTTAGTTTTAACCACAAGCATTCTATTGTGGCTGTATGCTATCGACCTCCAACTATCAATTCTTCTTTTGTGAGTCTGTTACATGATTCTATTAACCAAATTGTTGTACAGTATCCAGAGGTGCCGATCATATTGATGAGTGACTTCAA